CTGGCAGTCTGCAACCCCCCTAGGTCTTTCCTTCACTGAGCTTCACCTCTTTTTCATTCACAGAAAATAGATTTGCTATTCTATTACTGCTGACAAAGAAATCTTGATTTCTTGGAAAATATACCTGTCTTATGGAAAGGTTTCCCCTCTTATGCAGTGAAATATTGTGTAGTAGAGGGCTACAGATGGCTAAACATGCCTTTACAACAGGGGTGGAAAAAGTGGAGCTCATAGGATAATTCTTGAACTGTAGCTTCCATCAGCCCTGGGTACATAGTCAATGATTATGTGAACTGCATTCTAACAATATCTTGTGAGCCCCAATTTGCTCTGCTGATTACTGTGTTTCAGTATGGAGCAGATCTTCCCCTGTTATTTTTATAAACATTTAGTTAGTTGTCTTTGAATAGTCTGTGTATCACTGTTTAAGTTGTCTCTCAGCCTCTAGGAAACACCAGTAGCCTATTTGATGGTTTGGCCAGATCTCAGGGCTTGGCCCCATGTTTCATGGTGTAATGAAGCATCTTTATTGAGAACTACAGCTAAAGGAGAGCCACTTGGTGTAGTGGTTTGGGTTTTGGACTAGCACTCCAGAGTCCAGGGTTCAAATCCCTACTTGGCCATGGAAATCTACTGGGTGATCTTGGGCAAGTCACACTCTCTCAGCTTCAGAGGAAGGCAATGGTAAATCCCCTCTGAAATATCTTGCCAAGAAAACCCCATGATAGGTTCACCTTAAGGTTGCAAAAACTCAAATGACTTGAAGGCACACAACAACAAACAACTAAAGACACAGAATTAAGGAGAGAGTGGATTTTATGTTTGCATAGAAACTGCCTGTCTGCTCTCCCATCATATACCCATCAGTCTGCTTCATATTTCTCATATCGTCATTGGTGGGAAGTCTACTGATATATTTCCAACTTGCCTCTTTCCAACTAATGTAAGTTTTTATATGAGAAGTCAGCAGAAAAAGTTTAGTGATTCATAATTAAAAAGCTAAAGGAGAAGATAGCAAACTGGCAACAACATGTCACAAATGGTTTAATAACTAACTCTGGAGTTAAAGCCTGAGAAAACTAAAAGTTGTTCTACAAGCACTTCAAAGAAGCTCTGAGGCAACAACCCTACAGTTAACCCCAAGACAAATGCTAGTTCAGGAAGCTAACAAATGGTGCCAAGGTAAAATATAGTCCATTCAAACTTATCAGGTACAAAGCAAACAGTTATCAGTGACTCTGACATAAGTACAAATACATAGAGCAGTGATGGTGAACCTTATAGAGACCAAGTGCCCAAATTCAGTGGCATTCCCACACCAAGATTCACCGGGTGCCAGGGTCAGGACTTCTGGAGTGGGACTTCCAGGGGGTGGGACTGCAGCTGAATCTAAAGGTTCAAAACACCCTGCAGAAATAATCCAGTCTGAGACCTCTTTAACTGTCCTGGCTCAGTGCTAGGGAATCCTGGGAATTGTCTAAATATATCACTAATCTACAAATCCCAGGATCCCATAGCCTTCAGCCCTGGCAGTTAAAGCGGTGCCAAACAACCTTAACACCAGTGGCTGAATATCACTATTTTGTGGATTTTGGATGTTACTGTACTTTGCTATATGGCCAACAGGAGCAAGCATGGTGTAGTGGTTTGAATGTTGGACTATGGGTTCGATTCCCTGCTCAGGCAAGAATCCACTGGGTGACTTTGGGCAAGTCACACTTTCTCAGCATCAGAAGGCAATGGCACTCCCCTCCGAACAAATCTTGTGAAGAAAACCCTGTGATAAGGTCGCCATAAGTCAGAAATGACTTGAAGGTACACAACAACAATTCAAAAATGACAATATAAGTATATCTGCAAGTTATATCCCCTTGCCTGGGGCACCCATGCCATGCGTTTGCCATCACAGACATAGAGGGAAGTCATAGAACAGGATCATAATACACAGACCCACCACAAAAAGATAAAAAAATGGGAGTAGCAAAAGCTTTCATCAGCAAAACCATCATATAATGCCAGCTAAGCAAGCACCTGCCACACAAGGTAAAAATCCAAAGTCCTACAGTCTGTGGTTTAAAGAAAAACAGGGATGATACATACCCAGACTTTACCTTGTGTGATAGAAAGGAAACTATTAGTAACAATAATTTCAGAGACTTCCAAGAAGCAAAAACTTCCAGTATTGCCAGGGGGGAGTTATAGATGTTCATGAGAATACAATTGTAGATCAAGGATTTAAAAGAGAATTTTTTAAAGGGTTTTCCTAACTAGAAAGCTCCACCAGCCTCAGTTATTAGATCTGGTAAGAGGGGCTATTGTGCTGATGTGAAAACATGTTTTGTTTGTAACTGTGCTTATTCTTGTTGTGCTATGACTGAGATCTAGAATTCTTGATACATTTTTGGGAGAGTTCAACCTGGTAAGTTAACTACTCAGCTTAAGACTGGCAAAGTAGTATAAAGAACCCACAATATGAACCGATCCACACTACAGATGTATAGCACTATGATTCCATTTTAATTGCCATGTTCCATCCTCTGGGATTATAGAATTGGCAGTTTAAGGGGAAAGCATTTAGAATTTGTAGCAAGAGTGCTTCAATTTTTCACAAAGAGCTTCACCTCTTTTTCATTGTCACAAAATAGATTTGTGGTTCTGTTCCTACTGACAAAGAAGAACTCTTGATTTCTTCAAAAATATACTCCCTCTTATTGAAAGGTGTCCCTCTTATGCAGTGAAATGTTGTGTAGTAGAAAGCTACAGATGGCTAAACATGCCTTTACCTGGAGCCCTGATGGTACAGTGGTTAAATGCCTGTAGTGCAGCCACTCACTCACAGATTACAAGGTTGTGAGTTCAATATCAGCTCACGGGGCTCACGGTTGACTCAGCCCTGCATTCTTCCCAGGTCACTAAAATGAGTTCCCAGCTTGTTGGGGGCAATTAGCTTACAAATTGTAAACTGCTTAGGGAACACTTAAGTGCACTGATAAGTGGTATAGAAATGTACTTGCTATTGCTAAAGCTACAGACCCCAGGATTCCATAGAATGGAACCATGGAAGTTGACATAGGAGATTATCACACAGGGGAAGAAACGGGAGAAATGCGCTATGCTCCTGTCATGTTTGTGCGATCGCAGAAAGATTTTCAAATGAAATCATGCACATACCTTGCTTGTCCCATCATCGAAGCACTGTGCTAGTGCAACTTCTCATTAATGATAAAAAAGCGTTAATGGCTTGCCAATAGCGCTTTATTAGCATTATTGCCAATGTGTGAAAGGCAATCACATTTGGAAATCCATCATTAAACCTTCCAGAAATAAACTGAATTCCCTAGTCCCCCAGTGTGCTGTCTGGCAGAATCACTTCCTATGTCACACTTGTGAGTCACAGGAGAGTTCCTTAGTGGCGAGAGAAAAACAGGATGCCAACGCTAAAAGCTCCTAATGTGCGGATTTTAAAAGCACTATTTTACCATTTGTGAATCATTAAAGCCTCATTATTGCAACACCGTGTGAAAGTAGGTGTTGCTATTTCGTCATTGTATTATTACTGAATAATGTTAGAATAGTGCTATTAAACTGTAAATAGCCCTCATGTGATAATCTGCACAGACTCATCAAGTACCATCTGCTGCCCCATGAGATATCTCTGTTAGAGCTTGGAAAAATTATAGTAGTTTGAAGACTACAATAATCAGTCAGAGGTTGTGCTGGCTGTGGGATTTTGGGAATTTTAGTCCAAATAGTGACTTTTCTAAGCCCTGATTTCTGTGCACCTTCAGATTCTCAAGCTTTACTCCCTTGCATTTTAGGTATTTTTGCTTAGTTCTCTATTATATTTCTGTATTGTGGGTGTATTTTTTAAAAAGGGATTCTTGTATTTGCTCTTTTTATTCTATTTGCAGTCCTCTGTGTGGAACTTTTTATCTATTTGCTTCTAAAATTAGCTTTACCACATTCCTTTAATTAAAAAATAAATCCATACTGATTTTGTTCATAATATCAGGGCAAACAAGATTTCTTTCTTTCCATGTTCACCACCTCAGTTTCCCTGAAATATCTCTGGAAGGTTACCATAGTTTGGGTAACTTTCAGACTGATAAAGGGAGCTGCTCCTTTTCCTCAGGATGTATCCCTTTCCACTGACTACAGCATAACCCTCAGAAAAGACCTGCTTATGAACTGTGAGATTTTGGGGTCATGTAGAAAAGCAAAAGATCTCCACCCCATGCACGCTCAATAAACCCTCTCACCTTCTTTCAAATGGAGAGGGAATGTAAAATGTGCTGGATTTTTTTTAAATACTGACTCTGAGCCCTTTCACTAGAATTCAATAGCTGTGTTTGGAATAACAGTAGGCAAAGGGATCTTGTTATGTAAGTAAAATATGTTGTAACATAAGCTTTTGTAGGTTTGGTCTACAGCTATGAATCTGAGGAAGTAGACCAAAGTAGGTTGCAGACTGCCAGAAATAGTGCAAATTGAGTCCACTTTTAGGGTTAGGGTTAGTGCTAGGGAATCATGGGAATTGTTTTTTTTCTGGGACATTGAGCCTTCTCTGTCAGAGAGCTCTGGTGTGACAGTAACTACAGTCCCCATGATTCCCTAACCCTAACCCTAACCCTAAAAGTGGACTCAATTTGCACTATTTCTGGCAGTCTGCAACCCCCCCAAGTCTATGGAGTTTTTCACATGGGGGAAATCCCGTGCAAAATCGCTGCTTTAAATTAGAAAAAAACCGCAAAAGTGGTCATGATTTCACATGATGTCGCTGTTAAATTGATGTTAAAAGGAGGTTAATCCAAACGAAAACCACTCATTTACGCTTCTTTTTACTTTCAGAAAAAAACGAAAGTAAAAATGAGGGGTTTTCATTCGGATTAACCTCCCTGTTAA